TATATATATATATATATATATATATATATACATATATATATATATACATATATATATATATACATATATATATATATATATATATATATATATATATATATATACATATATATATATATATACACATATATATATATACATATATATATATATATATACACATATATATATATATATATACACATATATATATATACACATATATATATATATATATATATATATACATATATATATATATATATATATATATATATATATATACATATATATATATATATATATATATATACATATATATATATATATATATATACACACATATATATATATATATATATATATATATATATATATATATATATATATATATATATATATATATACATATATATATATATATATATATATATATATATATATATATAATACATAAAACAATAATAAATATATATAAATTATAATAAATAATGCTAAGTATGAATTTAGTTTTACAAAATGTATTCATATTTCCAAACAACTGAAATTTCATTTTTTTTTTTTTTTGTATATACAGAGATTGATAGCCTCAACACAAGAAAGAACTCATCTTAGAAGATCGAGTCGAGTTGATTTTTTTTTTTTTTTTTTGCTCTTGGTGAAATATTTGCTTATGGGGTATTTTAATTAATAATTATATCCATTAATATCTGACCTATCGCTTGAATACTTTCGTTTCCTACTTAATTTTTCCTTAACCATTTCTTTTGAATATATTCCTCATTGATTAAACACTTATCAAAAAGTCGTCATTTTTGTTGAATGCCGGTGTAGAGTTCCTCTTTAAGCCGACATTCAATAAACACTGACGTAGCTTCGTTATTCTAAGTTTATGATTGATTCAAAGAATTGTCGATTATTGCTTTTCCTATTTTTTGAGGTTGGGGACAGTATTCGTAAATTATTGCAGTTTATTTGGTTATTTAATTTTTAATTTGGGAAACATGAACTAAATGAGTAGTTTTTTTTTATTTTTTGTGATTTCCCCTTCTATAATATAGTAGATTAGGTATAATTTATTGTTGGATATTATTTTCATTTACTGATCACCCTCCACATTTTTTACTTGTAATCTATTCTGTTTTATCGTTAATCTCTCTCCAACACCTTTCTTTCTCCTCCCCTCTTCGACTCTTCTTTCTTATTATCTTCTGTTTTTCTGTCTGTAAATCTTAATTTACTTCCATTTATTCCCCCACTTTTTTTTTTCTTTTATACATATTAGCATTCTTTCTTTTTTTTTTTTCCTGCCTCCGTTAATTTCTGCTTTTGGGCATTGACTTTCACATTAGATTAACGTCTTCCAGCTCTCATCTTTTAAACTTATTTTTAAGTTCGCATTGAAAAACCATTTTACCGGAAGTGAGAAGGTCAACAAACAGTTAGTTAAATAAAATATAATATTTTTGAGTGAAAGTTATGAAGGTTGTTGTTTTTAAGCAATACTTAATGTAGATCAACTTTTTTTGTTTCCTAATTAAGAACAGATGGCATTAATACTTTATTCCTAACGAAAATTGTTTTAAGTCCTGATCCCATAATACAAGACTGAAAAGTTTTAAACATTTAAAATCTCAGATATATCATAATCATTCCAGCATGAGAAAATGTACTCATTTTACTAATAAAACATTAATTTTTGCTTAGGCTTCTCACTGTTCTAATTCTGTAAAGACTTTGTTTTTTGTGTCTACTCTTTCTACTGTTATATCATTTTATTGCTCATAATTATTGCAGAAGTTTTATAATCGAATATAATCCCAAAGAATATAATCGCAGGATTTATCAATGAGAAATGCCTTAAAATTCATGTTTTCGGTCCGGTTTCTGTTTGGCATTTATTTTGTGTTTAAGAAATTTTTGCTCTTTCTTTACATTTGTGTGATTTTTGTTTTTGTCTGGGTGTTATTTTTACTAGCTCTGCTCTCATAGGCTTACGAAATCTTTTTTGTGTTAAATAAAATCATTCAAATCGTTTTTTTTTTTTGTTTGTTTGTTTTTTTGTTAACAGGATTCTTCCAGTTTGATTAACTTAACTGATCTGGAAAATGTTAATATTCAAAAAGTCTGAATAATTTAAATGGAATTCAGTATCACATATTTATCTCACGCAAAATATTGAAGGCATTTAGTATAATATGCAGAATCGAAGTGTTATTAACAATGTAAAATTATCAGAATAGTTTCAAGCCTTTCACGATTTATTTACAGAATGTTCAATCAGTTTTCATTTTGGTATCAATCAAAGGAATTGTGATTATGCCTAGATAAGGATTAAATATACACATAATTGAACATGATGCAAAATTATTTATGACATATTTCGAATAAAAGTAAATGCAATCAATTAAATCAACATCTCCCCTGTAGCTGTGGTTACTTAATACCAGGAGATCAGCAGCAGAACTTTAATGAAAAAAAAAGTAATAACAGTCTTTATCGTTTTCATTTGAATTGCAGTCGCCAATATGAGTAGAGAAATTTTAAACATAGACCGATAACAATCGTGCAAAATCTGTGAAAATGCTTTTGTAAGAATTGTGTTCGTTTCAAAAGAACTTCTAATGTTGGCTTGCTGAAGTTTGAACTGAAATCTTCAAATAATGATCAGTTAAAGATTTCCTTTGTATCACAGCTCAAATCTGAATAAGCTGGTTAAACCAACACATCCTCCAATAAACGAGTTTCTACGTTTATTAATATTTAACTTTGTAAATAGCAAAAAAAAAACCGTGAAATATCTGTACAGCAGGGCAGTGTATGGCGACAAAAATCAGGAGACTACCTTGTTAACATTCGATGTACGGCTATCTCTCGCTAGATAAACAGGTGTTATATATTTTATCAGTACGTGTACTGTTGTACATGTAGCTAATTACAGTTGATCTAATCTTAAGGTAGGAAAGTTCATTATTTACAAATAAGGTATAATATTTTCTTAATGTAATATAAAGAATGTAAATGAATTTAGAAGTCGTGGACATTGTTTGATATCAAGATACTTCCTACGTAGACAATTGATAAGTTTTTTTAAAGTTTAAATATGTAAATAATATTCACCTGGGGAATGGCGCGATACAATCCTTCCATTAACTTCCTAATATTAGATTTTTCTGCGCTTTTAAAGCTATAATATTTAACGACGTGTTTAAGCATTATTATTATGACTTCAGCATTAGTAATCATAGTTGGAATCAGTCAAAAATGATTTCAGATGCATTTGAAAAGATAGATTTTACTTACTTATTTTATTTATATAAACTCAGACACCGATTGTAATTAAAATTGTTTAGTTTCCATCTTTGTATCATGAATTTTACCTTTTCACATATTATGAAAAGTCAATTCATTATAATACTGATATACATGCATGCATGTATGATTGATTGACAGAAGAGAAACAGTAAATACACTCAAAATGTTACACTGTTCTTTTCGATCTCATACAGTTGGTAATCGTACACTTATAAATCTACAACAGATTTATCCCCGAGATATATATATATATATATATATATATATATATATATATATATATATATATATATATATATATATAGCGGCCATAATATAAGGAACATAAACAACAAAAGACATAAGTATGTGTATTACTTAAAAAGTAATGCATGATTAGCAATGAAATTTTTACCAAATAAAGATTAGGTGTAATGCATAAATATTATACAAAAGTTACAAAAATTTACATAATAGTTTTTTTAAATAAAGATTAAATGGAACAAAGGAAATAAGCTACCGATTCGCTAACCTAAAATTAAAATTAAAAAACAGACACCGGAAACGTGTGGACACATTTGTGGTGACACTACGCACAACAAAAAACGATATGATCTAAACTTAAAATCCAGAAGATGAGAGAGAGAGGGGAAAAAAAGCGGGGGGGGGGTCAAACTAAAAACGAAGGGCATTTATGAGAGAATGTGTAATCAAGAAAATTTGACAAAGCAAGTAATATCAACTACAGGTTACAAATTTAACATAAACATATAAAAATAAAAGAATATTTAATCTAGTAAGGACCTATTATTTATATGCCCAAAAACACATACGTAGATATACACATACACAACAACATATCTATATCTACTCGCACATACATATACGTGTGTACATATATATAGAAATACACACACACTCACGCATACATATATGCATACACACATAGACATACACATATGTGCACACAAATACATAAAACCTTACACACATCCATACAAATACATACACACACTCATTTAAACAAATATACAACGTATCTCTCTCTCTCTCTATATATATATATATATAATTAAAAAGTAAAAGGTAAAAACTACCCATCCATCCATACATTTAACATTTAAAAATAGATGGGTAGAATTAAATTAATTTGTACTTAAAAAAACTTACTGAGGAAGTAAACGATAACAATATTAAAACCCACGGAGTGATTAACGCGGATATATCTATTAAGTCTACATATATACCTAGGTAATGAACATGTCGAAAATCAACATTTGAATTCCTGCTATAATTAAAGAGAAGCATCTTTAAGAAGTGTAAAGAATGATAAAATAGAGAAAAAAGAAACTTTGAATAAGAGACAGAGAGGGAGAAAGTGTGATGGATTATTTAAGAGAATAAGAGTTTAGATTTCTATAAAAAAGAAAAATAATGTCAAAATGAAAGAAAAAATAATAAAAAATAGGCATGTTGAAAGCATGGAAATAAGGAGATATGTTTCTTTTTCGAGTAGCAAAGCAGTTTTGCAATTCTTGTCAAATCACAGTCAAAGAGTGATAACAAAGAATAGTGATTTAGATCCTTGTCTTAGTATCCAAGGCAACGGGCTAAGAAAAAGAAAGGTGCATGAATGATGTTTGAATAAAAATAGATCTCAGAGAAAAACAGAAATGAAGAAATGTTTTTAGTAAACAGAGATGAATTGGGGAAAAGAAAAATAACCTCTAAAAATGAAAGAAAAAAGGAATCAAGAAGAAAATCAATTGCGAATTCATTTTAAAACAGAAAGGATAAAAAACAAAAAAGAAATAAGTAAAAGGAAAAAGGCAAGAATGAAAAAACGAAAAAGGAAAAATAAAAAAAAACAAGAAAAAGGAAAGAACAAGTAGGAAGATAAATAAGAAGCAAACAAAACGAAATAAGAAGCAAAAACAAAGGAAAGAGGATATTATATAAGGAAAAAAATAAAAGATAAATTGTAATTGATAGTGAAAAATGAAGAAAATTTTCAAAGAAAGGCAGAAAAGAAAAGGAAGTGCAAATTCGAAATGAGCGAAAGAATTAATAGGTAAAAAATGTGGAAGTAAAAGAAAATAAAGAAGAGAAAAAAGAAACTGAAAAAAAATCATAGAACGTAATGAAGTAAATATAAAACCAATATAAAAATAGAGGAAAAGTAAAGAAAGAGACATAAATCGGCAATAAAGAAGAGAAAGAGAAAAAAGAAAGAAAAATACTGTAAATAAATAGAGAGGAAAATGTCTGCAAAGTTAAATGAAGTGTAAGTTTTTTTTAACCAACCATGAATAGTCGATTGCCCGATTCGGAAGGATATGAAGCCAATCATTAGCTTGGCCCACGCTTCGACGTCATCCCGAGTTGGGAATTCCTAAATACATAGTGCCCGCAAAAAGTTCGTCCTCGATCCAAAAGCTTGATAAAAAGGGACACAGCAAAAGAGCTTATGTAGCAATAGTGTCAGAAAATAAATGTACTTATATTCATTGAACATCAGAAATGAAGCGTTACGTATAAAAGTAATAAATAATTATATAGGACGTTAAAATATCTGGGAAAAAAAGTGTGAAATAAACACTTTCATTCGGAAGATCTTAAGTTGAAAATGCACATCGTAAAGGCTAGCGAATAGACCGAGCTAAAATATCGTGTTAAAAGCAATGCAATTTTTTATTCGTCAAGAAATACTTAAATTATAGCATGGGATTTAAGTGGGTATAAAATCTTTTCTTCTGGAAAATGGTGTCATTTTTATGTTAAATATTATAGTATAGCATATTATCAATATACAATATCACTGATATTATTGCAAAATTCAAAATTTATCTGGGGTTATTACAAGAAATCAGAAGATATCACGTTAATGTGACGTTAGCTGCAGCATCTGAGAATATTTGAAACGTTCTAAATGTCACTTGCGCATATGCAGTCATTTTTGCATTTTTATTGTGTAGAAATTTAAACAACTGAATGTTTGGCCTATTTGGAAACAATGTTTGTGGTTCTAGATTTCAGCCGAAATTAGGTCCTTCCATCAAATTTCAGAATAAGCTGGAAACTGTTCATATTAAATTGAAATGGTTAAAAATCAAACACTGGGATATAACGCAGAAATGAATAGGGTAATAATTGTTTTTTAATTTATTAGCAACAGTAGACATATTGAATGGAGCGAGAGATAGAGAGATCGAACGAAATAATAAAAATGTCAGATTAAAATAAATGTATTCATTCCTTGGAAATTTTTTTTTTGATTTATTATATTTATCATGAATATTAATAAAGCAACTTATACACACTTTGTAAATCCATATTATATATATATATATATATATATATATATATATATATATATATATTACAGGTAAAATGCTTAGGGCAACTGTGCATTTCTTTAAAAAAAAATTAAAATGAGCAATTTTTGTATTTTTCTTCAAGTAAAAGATAAAATTAAAGTAACTACAGTGTATCTATTTTTCACAAAAATAACTATAAAAAATTATCATACAACAGTGTCATATTTTGTTTTCCTCAATAAAACTACCACCTGTCTTAAAAAGAGTAGATGTCAAAACTCCAGTATTCTTCAAACACTGAAATATCTCACTCCCATTCTTTGGGTATTCTCTTCGAACTCTACTATCCAGTTCATCTCAAACTAATTCATTGGGACAGAGGTAAGTAGCCAAGTTAAACTTTCCAAAATTTTGTTTCTTTTTTTTTTGATTGGAGGTAATTTTGACATAACTTAAAAGAGTATTTTGGGTCGTTGTCTTGTTGAAAGTTGATTTTATTCCAGTTACACGTAAACAATATAGTATAGCATGTCTTTGCAAAATTGAATAATATTGCTCTTTTTACATGATTTCTTTGACCTGAATCAAATTTCTATCCCACCATTGCCCCAAACAACCCCACACTATAACAGACTCACCACCATGCTTAACTGTTGGTATCACACATTCATCATTCAGTCTTTTTCCTGGCTTTCTTCTCACATATACTCTCCTCTCACTACAAAAGACTCGTCTGTCCGCCATACATTTTGTCACTCTTCCAATGTTTAGTTCTTATACTTTTTGCCCATAACAGTCTCTTTTGCTTATTCACCTTCCGTAACACGGGTTTCTTGGTGGCTATGCACCACCCGAGGCCCGCTGATTTAAGTCGATTTTTTACTGTTGTAACACTGGTTGCTGTTGAGAGGAATTATGTTCAGCTGTTAACAGTAGTTTCCCTTGTTTCTTTCGCTCTCAATAGTCAAATGTTTATCTCCATCATCAGTTGTCCCTTTTGCTGTTCCATCTCTTTTTCTCTCAACATTTGCCCCAGTTTCTAACTGACTTTGTAACGAATATTGCACCCTAGAAATCTTAACTTTTTGGAAATTTGTCTTTAAGAGTAGCCTTCTTTCAATGAAATTTTCAATTTGTGCCTTCAACTCTTGCGTTGAATTTACCATTTTGTGTAAATTAGTTCAAAATTAAAACACTAAAACTATGAAAATACTGTCATAATGGCACAAGCTTTTTTTTCTTCAAACAGAGACAGCTCCATATGTTTTGTTTGCAACATTAATCAGTGCTGAGTTAACATTTAGAACCTGTATTAACATTATTTTTAATGTTAAAAAAAATGGTGGCCTCACAAAGGTTACTGAGGAGTCAATGGTGAAAACAAAATATAATGTTTCTCATACAAAATGTTCATAATTTAGAAAAATGTATTGTGGACAGACTGGGTTTAGCAAAGTTATATGTTGCTTTATTAATATTAATTATAAAAACAATCAATCAAAATTTTCAAGAAGTGTATAAATAATAGAGATGATGATTCAAATATATAACAAACTCTGAACTATTTTTATTATGACGATGTCAGCCACCAAGAAATTTATTTTGATAGAATGCATAAATGACGACTCTTCTAAACGTATTTTAATGTTTTCTGTATATTTTATGTTTTGTCCAACAGTGTGATGCTTTAGAAAAATGTCTGTTATGTCAAAATTAATTTTCTTACCTCTTTCGCAAACCCATTTCTATTTCAAAATATCGAAGATCTGCTTCACAAAAATGTAAATAAACAAATTAAGCATTATTAAAATGTAAGTGAAATGCTTAAAGAGGAAAGAAATGTTTTAAGAAATGACTGATACATTAAACTTTAATAAATAGCCTTTTACTTATATCATTTTATCTTTCATCAAGATATTTTGACTGCTATCAATTCACATTATCAGAACTGATATCAGAAGTTAAAATTCATTGCTTAAAGAGCTATTAATCATTCAATGACTTAAATCCTAATTATTTAAACAAAAGCTAACTATAATAAAACGAATCTTAATTAAATACTAATTAATAGAATTTTTTTTTTTTTTGAATTTTTATTTTTTGCTTTGCGAAAGGCAAGAAAATCAGGTTAAATTCATGTCTGAATGACAATTTGTTTTCGGAAGGCTTCTTCTACGTATCATCAATACTAAAATACTGTATCGTAATGTGAAAAGTGATACAAATACTGGAGGCGACCAGGGAAAGTGGCGTCATTAAAACGACCTGAAATGATTGTTCTTCTCATTCTCGATCTACGCATTTTTCTTGCATTTGTTTAAAGAAATCGATGGAAAATTAGTTATCTTTATTTGTCATTGATGAAAATGATGACTAGTGTACAGAGAAATTATCGAGGTTATGACGACATAAATAATTTTCATCGAATTCCTCTTTAGACGAAAAACACTAATTGCATCTTTTAATTATGACGAATAGAAAAAACAAATTGGCAGTGTTTTGCTGGATGATTTCAAAGCAACTCGTTTTGCTTATTTTAGCATTTTAAAGGAATACGAATCATTTCTACATAGTAACAAATCACTGTAAAAACTTGGACAAAATACTTCTAGAACGCTTGACTAGATGTTGCATGGTTACTCTTCTTTTAAGCTGAGAGCCTGTCTTAGCGCGTCAGCTATTTGCGCGGTCCATTGTCAAAGGAATTTTACTGTTGAGGTAGTCTAAATTGATCTTAAATCTCTACACGGAACGTAATTCCCAACATTTAAGCCAAAAACATGGGTATTTTCATTATTTTTACGCCTGCTAATCCTTTAGGAAAAATTTTGTCTGATGAAAAGTGGTTCTGATCTGCTTTTCGCAGATTTTCAGATTAAATCGATTTTATTGGATATTGTATAAATCCTTGTTATCCGAAATTTCATATTTCAAGCATTTTCTAAAAGTGTTTTTCTTCTAAAGTAGAATTCGATGAAAATTCTTTATGTATAATTCTTGATAATTTCTCTGTACATAAGCAATCATTTTCATCAAAGACAAAAAAGATGACGAGTTCTAATCTATTTGTTAATTTGGGATTACCAAAGAATAATACACACGTACGAATACACACAGACTATATATATATATATATATATATATATATATATACACACACACATATATATAACACATACGCGCACACAAACATATTATATATATATATATATATATAATGCATTCAGTTCATCTTTGGTGTTAAAAGGAGTTTTGTTGGTCTCTCGCTCAACTGTGCCAGACGAATAATAATCAATGGGGTTGCAGTCTTGGGAGTTAGGTGGCTAGATGTAAGGGGTGATGTTGTTGCAGAAATTGTCTGACAGCCATGACTGTCTTCTACTTGTGTGCCATTGTGATGAGTCCTGTTGTCAGACATAGAGTCTTCCAGCAGTCACCCTCTTGACCCAGGGCAGCACTACCTCCACCGTGTTGAGTTTGAGGCCCTCACCAACAAACTCAAGAGTTCTTTTCTTATCAGAACGATCCGAGTGAGTTATCCGAGATGACTTACTAGCATAATCACCATTAAACTCATTCAACTCTTTCCGAATCCTCTGCACTGTCATACAAACACTCTGAATGTTCATACTGGAGTTTCAGGCGCGAATGCCATGCAGAACAGCATGAGGTTTCCAAATTTATGGCGGAGTGAATTGCATCATCGTGCTCTTTTTCTCAAAGTTTGTGCCCAACTGACTTTACTATACTGTGCAGCCAGTAAAATAAAAAACAAACAACGCGCATGCGCGTAATTAAAGATATAAAAAGGCTCCAATTTAACCATCGCACTCTGTGCATCGGACGCCAAAACTTAAAAAAAATTAATTTAAAACTAGATATCCCTGTATCTTCAGCATTTCTTGATGTAAAATTGTAATTGGCGTTTGTTGTGTTTCTTCCTCCTCATGCCATTTTAATAATAAGAAAAAATGAATATATTTCACTCAGGCGAAGATGCTTTGAAAGTGCTATGGTCTATGTATCCCTTATG